TTGCAGTTAAATGATATGCAATCGTGTTTGACTTGAAGAAATTTCCTGTATATTCCAGCATATAAAATAAAATGGGTTTTTTTTGTGTTTACACTCACTATTTCAAATATATGAAAGTAAAACACTGCAAAAAATAAATAAAATTAAAGATTCAGCGGCACTAACTCCTGTTGTTCTTAAATCTATTTTCACCTGTTTAGCAGGAGTGGCGCCGGTGGAGGTTTTCCTGGTGCCGCAGCTTTCATGTCAATGGGGGGATCCGGGGGTTTGCTCAGATTTGAAGTTTAATTTTTCACTGTAGAAAGAGGTTTTCTTCCCACACAGAGTGTACAGCAGACGCTAAGGTTTTTGTCACTTTTTTTCAGAGTCAAACTCAAAGTAATGTCAGTACTTCCAAGCTTTAAACGCTGCATGGTCGTACTCTCTCCAGCAACACACATCTGTTGCTGCCACAGATGTCGCACGCTCATACGTCATTGTCATGAGACATTCTCACAAACAAAATCACAGTTTAGTAATACAGCGTACTTACGAGAAAGTAACAGTAATATAATTACTTTTTTGCAATAGTAATCCCTTACTTTACGTGTTACTTGAAAAAAGTAATCGGATTACAGTAACGCTTGTAAGTGCCAAAATTATAATTAATTGACACATTAAATATAAACTTGTGCTTTTATGGAAAATACTGAACATGAAATTAACACAAATCCATTAACATGAATTTACCTCTATTGAAAAAAGCTAAACAAGACTTTTAACAAAAATCTCAAATTATGTTTGTTTGTTATTGTCCATTTATGGAAATATAAGCAGCCTCCTAGAAAATCCTAAAAATATTTTTTAACTCTGTAGAGTTTATTATGTGGATGTGGTGGCAGCGCAAAGACAGCCTGCACTTCTGATTTATAAACAAAATTTGGGAGCTGTTTTAATTTTGTTCTCAGTGGAAGAGTTGGATGGAGGAGGTTGCTCTTTGGTGAGATTAATGGCAGAGGCGTAAATCCTATCCCACAAACCATAGACCAAGGCGACTATGGTTTGTGGGTAAATGTTAGAAATGAGAAAAAGACAAACACCCATGTCGAAAAGTAGAGGGCTCATAGTTGAAGGTTTTAAAGGCGATAGCATACACAAAACATATGGAATACATAATAATAAAGATTATGATCTCTACACTGAAAACAATTAATCAGCATTCACACTAATTTTAACAATATGATGAAACAACAAGTAAGTCTGGTACCAACTAGTGAAAGCGACGATTAGTCAGGTAGTCGACCAGTCATGCACATCCTTAAGCCCAACACTCATAAGTAGATTATGAAACTAAAGACTCATAGAAATGGAGTAATTTATTATTTATGAGTACACAGTTGTTAAACCTACTTAATATTTACTAATAAATGATCAGTTTAACTAATTAGCCCCCACATATTTAGGGATTTTTAGATTTATACCAGATTTTATTTTCAGACACGGCAAACAATGATTATGTCAACATCTTTAATCAATGACATTATCAAAACCACAAACGAGGTACAAAATGATTCCCTTCACTCTAAAACATCAAGGTGTATGGAGCTCTTCAAATGTAGGTTGGCTCAATACCTTGAACAGTGTACTACTCTCGGCAGAACTGGATGATGAAACATTTTAACTCCACACTTGTCTTATTATTATATATTATAATAAGACATGATTATTTATCATAAATAATTATAAATAAGACAGTTTAAAGCAAGGCAAATGCTGGCTGGGGAGATGGCAGCCCCCCAAAAAGGTAATTCAAATATGCTAAATTTGTGACTGATGATATTGGACTCCAATAATTACTCTGTTAATGTAACAATTTGATCTTTTTCACCAATTTTGTCATTTTCAAAAACATGAAGTTTACTTTCAGAGAAGAGAAAAGAAAACAGAAATGCTTTTTTTAGAACCATTTTTATTTGTTTTGTGAATGTTTTCAACCAGATTAACTGATTAGCAGGGTAGTTGAAAATATATAATAATCCCCAAAATCCTTTTTTTTTTTACAGTGTATTGCCTTCGTCAGCAGCCTCTCTACAACTGTGTAGCTGAGCTTCAGCCTGCGCTGGGATGTTGAGTTCATTCATTAGCTTGTGAAAACGTTGTGTGTGCATAGCTTGCCACATCAACAACGTATGTGTGTTTTCCTCGAGGTGTTGGAAACAGAGTTTGTTGTGGGAGCCCAGCCAAATGCGGGAATTGCAGTTGTCACAATTCACACAACGGACACGAGCACTGTGTGGGATTCATGGAGAATCAGCATGGACCCACAGTGCGAGGATTGTCACCTATTGTTGTTCACTTTTTATCACTGTAAATAAACTCACTGCCTTACACAGCTACTGTGTATTTCGGGGTCAGTGGCCACAGATACTGTGTGTTTTGGGCCTGGTCAGCTCATTAAAACAGGTACTGTTTGTTGTGCTAGGCCACCGGCAACAGTGAACTTGGGTTTTGCTTCTAAGTTAGAAGGCGTCTGGGAAGGAATCTCAAAACTGGATTATAGATGGCAGACAGCTGGTGTCATAAGCCACCAGCTCTGTTCAAAGATGGTCGTTCACAATGGGCATAGATGGCTTCTTTCACTCCTCTTTCAAACAATCTGTCTAATCTGTCCAAAATGTGAACATCGACATCCTCGAAAGAGTGACCTTTGTCCTTAAGATGCAGATGGACAGCCGAGTGTTGTCCTGTTGACCTGTCCGTCTGACCTTCTTTTCTGTGCATCTTTGCTGATTTGATGATCAAAAAAGAGCTTTCTTTACAAGTGTGTGTTCCCTCTTTTTCCCCTTCTGGTTTAGAGGGAACATTTTCTGCCCAGTGTTTTAGGGTCCTGATTACTCCAAGTTTGTGTCCCAGAGGGCGTTGGGAGTCAAAGAGGAGGTACTGGTCTGTGTGTGTGGGTTTCTGGTAAACTTCCATACACCGGACGGACGTCAACGCGCCACCTGGACCTGCCGCGGCTGAGCTGGAGGACAACGTGCCACCTGGATCTGCCACAGCTGAGCTGGAGGTCAGCAAGCCATTTGGACGGGTTAGGAGGTCAGAGCACCGTCTGACCTGCTGCGCCTGAGCCAGAGGTCAACGTGCCTTCTGGACCTGCCGCGCCTGAGCCGGAGGTCAACGCGCTGCCTGTACCTGCCACGGCTGAGCTGGAGGACAACGTGCCACCTGGATCTGCCGCACCCAAGCTGGAGGACATCACGCCGTCTGACCTGCCACGCCCCACCTGGAGGACAGCGCGCCTTCTGGACCTGCCGCACCTGAGCCGGAGGTCAACGCGCCACCTGGACATGCTGCACCTGAGCTGGAGGTCAACGCACCGTCTGGATCTGCCATGCCTGAGCCAGAGGCCAGCGTGCCGTTTGGACCTGCCGTGCCTGACATGCCACGCCCAACCTGGAGTTAAACGCACTGCCTGGACCTGCCACGCCCAAGCTGGAGGACAGCACGCCATCTGACCTGCCACTCCTCAGCCGGAGGTCAACGTGCTGCCTGGACCTGCTGCGGCTGAACCAGAAGACAACGTGCCTTCTGGACCTGCCGCGCCTGAGCCGGAGGTCAACGCGCTGCCTGTACCTGCCACGGCTGAGCTGGAGGACAACGTGCCACCTGGATCTGCCGCACCCAAGCTGGAGGACATCACGCCGTCTGACCTGCCACGCCCCACCTGGAGGACAGCGCGCCTTCTGGACCTGCCACACCTGAGCCGGAGGTCAACGCGCCGTCTGGATCTGCCATGCCTGAGCCAGAGGCCAGCGTGCCGTTTGGACCTGCCGTGCCTGACATGCCACGCCCAACCTGGAGTTAAACGCACTGCCTGGACCTGCCACGCTCAAGCTGGAGGACAGCACGCCATCTGACCTGCCACTCCTCAGCCGGAGGTCAACGCGCTGCCTGGACATGCTGCACCCACGTTGGAGGACAGCACACCGTATGACCTGCCACAACCGAGCTGGAGATCTGTGTGCCACCTGGACCTGCCACACCCCAGCCGGAAGACAGCGCACTGCCTGGACCTGCCGTGCACGACCTGCCATGCCTGAGCGAGACAGTCTGCACATCAATGTCCTGCCAAGCTATGGCCTACACATCCATGATCTGCCAAGCCACATCCAGTTCAGTCACAATCTGCACTGCCAGCACGTTGCTGGTCACCTGTCATGCCACGCCGTTGCTGGCCACAAAAAGTCTTTCGCCATTGTTGCTGCCTACCTGAACTGTTCCATTGCTGAACTGTTGGACCTGCGGTTGGCCCTCTGAACTTTTTGTGTTGGACTATGCCCCTTTTGTTGTCTTGGGGGATTGGTTTGCTTTTGGACTATGCTAATACTAAACAGCTAATATTACCATATGTGTCGGCCAGGTTAACATTCATGAAGACTGTTTAATACTTTATTGAAAACAGGAGCTTTGCTGACCCCTGAACTTTCTCCTTACGTTTTGTTAAGTGTTATTAGCATTAGCTAATCCAGCTGTTAGTAAGGAGGAGCTGTGTGTCTGTCTGTGTGAAGTTGTGTGTCAGCAGCCAAAAAACCCAAAGGATCTATTGGTTCACATTTCCACCAACTACAAGAAGCATCTCACTGTACTCACCAACAGTGATTTCTGGGGGAATAATTATTTCCTTCAAGGTATATAGAAAAAAACATTTAGACATTTAGGGCAAGAAGAATCAAAAGTCTCACTAAACAACAATGGTATTTGTATTAGAATATTAAGAGCTATAGATTTTATATACTGATGCACCAAACTCGGTGAAGATTAGAAACACTTTTGCATAGGATAAAGCTGTGCATCATCACAGCCTCCTCCATCCTCTAACCATCCTCTAACCTCCAAATGCATTTTAGGAATAAAACGACCTTTAACATAGTGTACATAGACTGATTCCAGAGACAGATTAGTGAAATGAGAAAACCCCATTAAAATGAAAAACGCTTTCTCTTCCCGGGCAGCAGGGCGCGCTGTCACGCCAGCGTAACAGAAGCGTTTTCCGGGTCAGCGCTTTCATTGCCCCGTTTAGCTCACGCAACAGTCCTTCCGGCCTGACCGCCATCAAAGATAGCAGGTACGATTTTAATGTCGAGAAGTTTTAGCCAAAAGCCGTTTTTAATCTTTGCCATCCGTCGAGTTTTAGAAGATTTGTTGAAACTGTTTAGTAACTACTAACCTTACTTTACGTCTCAGCTCAGTATTGTAGCACCGTATTATATGAAGTTGAAGAAAATGTGGCGTCTAGTCAGCCGTGTCCGTTTTCCTTATGTTCCTAAGTGCGTAGAAATCGGTGCGTCCGAGCGCAGACTGAATATTGTTGTAGTGAGAAACTAAAGCAGCGAGCAGACCTGCTGGCTCATAGGGAGCTGTCGCACAGTCTGGTGGACACTAAAGCTTTACCGGCCCGATGTGACGGATCAGCGCCAGTAGGTCGCTTGTACCCTCAAAATTGGAAATGAAATCGCAGATTGCTCCAGGCTACCTCGCGTGTCTTACATGGCGAGTCCAAGTCAAGAGTTTTTACTGAAGGTGGCTGCAGCAGAGCACATTTTAGTAATCAGCGTTCACTCAGTGTAACTGTGATGGTTAAGCTTCCACCGACATTGACCTGTTTAGATTGTGGTTGTTAAACGGAGATTTGGAGTCCTGTTAGCACTGTAAGAAATGTTTTTGAGACCAAATTATGGTGTTGTTTCAAATGGCTCGCTCAAAAGAACCAGAAGCTCCTGCTAACATTCTTTTTGCACACAGTTATTGTCTAATCTGCAGGTCGCATCCATTGAACGAGAGTAATTGGTCTGTGTGTGTGTATATCACACAGTGCTTTTTTTTTTTTTTTATTTAATGAGGTTGAATTGATTCCACTGACCTTACATCTTGCTCGACTTCCTGAGCTACAGCTACCTTTGCAGTAAAGCAAAGTGATGGACGCCGTTATTCCCATCACTGCTTACAATAGAGCTTAGACAAGAGCCTGTTGTCGGTGTTGGTCTTCCTGCTATTGCATACTAAAGTATTTGTTGTTCTGATATGTTGATCATGTGAGATTGCAGCTAGTTAAAGCCTCATCATTTGCACTTGTCTTAATGTTTGTGTGTGATCCTCCGCAGACATGGCTATTCGTTATCCTATGGCTGTTGGCCTTAACAAAGGCCACCCAGTCACCAAAAATGTAACTGCTCCCAAACACAGCCGCCGGCGCGGGGTGAGTATCTCTTGCTGAGTGACTTTACAGACTTGACTATATTACAAGTGTTAAGATAAATATATTTGCACTTCAGACAGTAGTTTGTGTACTTACTCTGTGACTGGCTTGACCTGAAGCGTTTGATGACACATAGTGTAAATCAGTCCACATAAGCATAATCTGTCAGGCATCAACATTCCTATATCACATTATGTCCAAATAGAGTCAATGGTGTTAAATGCTTTGACTTAACGTGTACTTATGTCTTTACTGCCCAGCGTCTGACCAAACACACCAAGTTTGTGCGGGATATGATCCGTGAAGTGTGTGGGTTTGCTCCGTATGAGAGGAGAGCCATGGAGCTGCTGAAAGTGTCCAAGGACAAGAGAGCCCTCAAGTTCATCAAGAAGAGGGTGAGTTTGTGTCAAAGCACTCGCCAGCCTAAACCACAGTAGTGTTTGCCCGGTTACAAACCACAAAAGTGAGGACAAGTTGTAAAATGTAAATAAAGATTATGCAAATGTTGTATTATCTTTATAATATTTATAAAACATATTACATGTTTAAATAGAGCTGGGCGATATAAGATTTTTTTCATATCACGATATGGTTTTCTTTGTTTGTTTTTTTTTCATTTCAGGCGATAACGATCTATATCACGATATAAGCCAAATAACTATATTTGTAAGATTTAAATGTGCCGTTGCTCACAAGTGAAATGTGAAATAATCAGCAGCTTGTTTTGATTTAAATATTTATTTCCCATAATAAGTTCAACAGGGTAGATGTACTTAAGGAACATGAGACTTTTTCAGATAAATAAAGGCAAATATTGCAAACTACACAAAAGGCAGCCGCTAAAGCGTTTAAGTTTCAAAATAGAACAAACAAAACAGACTAAATTGTCAATTCCACTTAGAAACAAAATATTAATTCTAAAAATAAATCTTAGTTTGTTTTACAGAAGAACAGACAAAACTGACTAACTTTTGTCAATATCAAATGAACTGAGAACTAAAAGGAAATTCTCAATCTCTCCTTGTTGTATAGCTGAGCTTTTCAAACAGTTTTAACAGTTACTTTAGTCTGACAAAAGCCGAATGACGAATTAGTGCTTCCAGTCAGACATTGAGCATGCACCAGTTTATTGTATTTCCAGACTTGCTTTCGGCACAATTTACAGTGCACGCTACTCTGTTTTTTGTCAGACTTGAAATAGCCGAAATACCTTCACACTACGGAACTTCTGCGGCTCTTCCGTTCGACAATCTCTCCGGCATTGGAACCATCATCTGTTTTCTCTTCGGTAACCTTCGGTCACGCTCGGTTGATTTTTCTCTAGTCGGCACTCTAGTCCCTCCATTACCCGGGCGGCACGGTGGCCGGCTGCTTCCCAAACAAATACACATGTGCGGCTTGGCACTTATGCTGTACGTAACAAGTCACGTGACGTGACGCTGCGGCTGTGATTGGTTTGGCTCTGCGCTACTTAATTTGGATTGGCTGTTCTTCTTCTTCTTCTTTTTTTTTTTTTTTTTTAAGAGGACAAGAGCGGTGAGGTCTATCGCAATAGTTTAACTTTTCTATTGAGAAAAAGTTATTTCGCAATACATATCGTTATCGTTCTATCGCCCAGCTCTATGTTTAAACTGAATTATTGTACCATGTTAAGAAAACTGAGCTCATTTTGACTCGATGGCAGCAGCAGGTATCAGAACATTCGAACAGGGTCAAGCTGAAAAAGTGGGACTAAAAAGAAAGAGCTGGAGGAACATTTAGCAGCCACTTAGGTTAATTGGCAACATGTGAGTCACATGACGGGGTCTAAAAGAGCATCTTAGAGAGGCAGAGGTTCACCGTTCTGCAGAAAACTGCGTCTACAAATTGTTTTTCAGAATGTTTCTGAATGTAAACATGTGAAGACTTTGAGTAATTCATCATCTGTAGTTCATAATATCATCATTGTTGGATATCTGCATCACCAGTCCCTTAAAACGGGCATGATTGTGTGGTGGAAATCAGTGCATGGGCTCAGGATCAGCGTGCCCTCCACAGATGCAGGTTGGAGCTCTGTCATGCAAAGAGGCAGCCACATGGGAGCGTGATCCATAGACACCGCTGTCTTCTCTGGACCAAAGCCAGTTTAAGATAGACTGAGGCAAAGTGGAAAACTGCTGAGGTCATATTAATCAAAATCGGCACCTTTGGAAGTGGCAGTTTGCACCAAAAACAGGACAAAGCAGGGTCAGAACTGCTGAGCAGCTGGAATCCTCTAACAGAGAAGAAGAATCTTCTAACATTCCTCTTCCACAAGTCCCGCAGCTGCTCTGGTGGACTTGTGGGTTGTTGTTAGAAGAAGAGGGGATGCTACACAGTGCTGCATGTGACCCTGCGCCAACTTATTTCTGATTTGTGGCTGCGATCACATTCAAAATGAGCTCAGTTTTCATAACATGTTTATTTACTGAGGTTATCAGTACCATGTTTTGTGATTTGGAGGTTATACTCATAATTTTCCATGTTACACAGCCTTCCAACTGCTAACTATGAGTTGAGATGTGTGCATTCTCACAATTTCAGTGAGGTAGTTTTATAATGAGCCATCTGTAATGTGTTGGCCATTTATAAGGACTTGAGCTTTTTTGTGATCGTTTGTTGGATAGGATTTTTATGCACTGACTGGACAACAGAAAAGCTCAGAGCTCTTCTAATATTTCTATACTGTTTTTCCCCTCACAGATCGGCACTCACATTCGGGCCAAGAGAAAGAGAGAAGAGCTGAGCAACGTACTGGCTGCCATGAGAAAGGCTGCTGCCAAGAAGGAGTAAAAGTCATTTAATAAAACATGAAACTACATTCCAGCCTCGTCTTTCTCTTTTTGCTTTGTCACCATTCATCAGATCTGTTTATGTTGCTGCAACCATCTCGGTCGTCAGCACACCTGAAGATGTTTGTAGAAATCTCAAAATATAGACATAACATGCTGCTTGGCTTTAGACCAGACTGTAGATTAGCCTACTGTGGCTAAAGGAATGAATATCACCAAAGAACTTGTAAAATTACCGCTGCAGCAGAAATAAAGCATATACATTTTTGTATAGAAATGTGTACTTTAAGTATAAAATAAATTTTAGAATGGTGACTTGTGCCCATTCTTTTCTGTTTGAAAGGAGCATGAAGCTTTGGCATGTGTGTGAAAATGCTTAATCAGCTGAGTATTCTCCAGCACTTTATTCTGTCTCACACACGGTCACACTCAAGCCACTTCCAAATTTTAAATGAGTTCACAAATTTAAATGGAGAAACTTGAGGTGTGGAAGTTCAGTGGTTACCACTGTTGCCTCAGTGAGGGGTTTGTGGTTCACATCCCAACTGGGCTGTTCTTTGATGAGTTTGCATGGTTTTGATGTATGGCTTGTAGTCTTACAGAATTTGAGTGATCAGTACTACAAAACGCGACACATACACCAGTCGTGCTAAAATTAGCACTCACAGGTGAATTCAATAATGCTGATCATCTCCATCTCTGTTAATTGGCTATGCACCACAGACCTTAGTAGACAAACCGTTACTTAAAATGCCATCACTTGACCCAGCTGTATTGGCACATTATAGGTCAATCTCCAACCTTCCTTTTATTTCAAAAATTCTTGAAAGTGTAGTTGTAAACCGCTAACTGATCACGTGCAGAGAAAAATAATTTGAGGAGGTTCAGTCAGGTTCGAACCTGAGAGATGCATCTCCACCTTCAGCTGATCCATGTACTGTTCACTGAAGCCTCATCAGAAATGGTCTCAGTGGAAGGGTTGCTTTCAAGAAGTCATTATTAAGAAAGGTATACAAACAAAAGCCTGAAGTATGCCACATTACACAAGAACTGGACTGAAAATCCGTGGCAACTGGCCCAATGGAGTGATGGATCCAAATTAAAAAATTTACAGCCTGCATCTGTTAAAAACGGTGGAGGCTCTCTCATGGTTGGGGCTGCATTTCAGCCAGTGGTGTTGGAGATCTTGTTAAAATCGATGAAATTATGAATCCAGATAAGTATCAAAAGATTTAGCATCTGCAAAAATGGTAAATTGCTGCACCCATCTCCCATTTTCCATGCAAATTATAAAGATATAAGGGGTGCTCAAAACTTCTACATAAGCCTGGTGCAGTCGTACTGTGTAAAATTGTATGCACACACAGATTTGCCACCAACAATGAACATGTCTGTTTTTAGTATTGTTTGGTCCTGGAGAAGGACAGCCCTGTTTGGATTCTGCGTGCAAACCACAGTTTCCAGCCGTCTTTAACAACTTAAGAGAATTATACTGCACAATTTTCTCATCCAATAAAAGAATATTTACTACATCCGTTTACCTTGCATTTTATTTAAAACCTACAAAAGGATCACATATTTCTAGCTGTCACTAAGGGATATTGCCCTTCAATATAACTAAAGCTTTCAGACAGTTGTAGGGGTCGCAGTATATAATTATTTGTGACATAGTCATACAGGTTTAAAATAATACGAATTAGAACTAAATACCCTGAATTTGAACTGAAATGTAACATTTAGGACAACTGAGTTAAATTCTATCTCTGAGCTACGTTTTGATGTAAGTACAGGATATATAATAAAATATGTATAATATAAGACCTATTATTTTTTGCACCGTCAAAATTAAATGAGTGAAATGAGTGTCTTGAGCTACACTATAGCTAACTAGTTTACTTGCTAAAGTTAACATTACTGTTGGCTAAAGGGAGTCCGCGCACGGCTGTGGTGTTCTCACATACATTACACGAAACAATACAATTTTGCTCCAATAAAAGTAAAATAAATGACATAAATTAAAGATTTTCTCCATTTCGGTCGTCCATCACGGATGCAGCGTCTACTGTCGCGGTTGCTAAGCAACAAGAGCCGAGCGTCGTAGGGGACACGGTCCAGTTTAACAGCCGCTCACTTCCGGTCTTTAAGGGCAGCCCCTGAATTTGAACACACGCCTAGTTTTGCGTTTTAGGAGAGTGAGTGCTTAAATGATAAAAGAAGTAAGCACACAGACAGCGCAATAATGATGTAATACTTTGTGTGTGGCGTTGCCACTGGTGACGCGTCTTTATCCGTTTTAGTCCCGCCCTTGCTCGCTATTCTCCCTGTGATTGGCTGATAGTGGTTCCCTTGCGTTTCACTGGTTAGGCTGTATGCAGCCCGTTTGCTAGCTGGGTATATTTAGCTGATTGCATTATCGGATCAGATTTAGCCTGCAGTCCAGCAGAGTAGTGAACGTTATTTCAGGTGAATTCTGACTAGTAGTTAGCGAAGTAGTTAAGCTAACGTGAACAGCAGCCGTCTTTTTTCAGAAAAGTCTAGGTTATCTGTAAGGAGCGAAAACAAACCATTTCGGACATGTCTTCAGACGAAGACAGGGCCAAGGAAATTTTGAAGGGCTTCAAACTGTATCCTTTTTCCTGTTTGTGTTGCGCGAATGTTAGAAACACAGCAGTGAGCTAAATAGCTAGCTGTCTGGGTAAAGGCATAGGACAGGATGCAGCAGCCACATTAGCAGGATGGATGTTGTTGTACAACAAGCTTAGTTGCTAAAGCTAACCTGCCACAGTCTCTGCGCACGGAGTTGTATAGTTGCTGTGTTCCAGTGTCTGAACGGACACAACAGCAGCTCATTGAATGACGACCTGTGGGCTCACATGAGCTTCCACATGAGGGTGAATTCGCCTGCAGTTGTAGTACCTGTGGCACATGATGAGGATGAGATTTTGCTCAGGTAGCTGAGAAGTAACTGTTGTGCCTCCTGTAACTATTATTAAGCGCCTCACAGGTATGTGACTCGCGTTGAGCATAGTCTGACTGCTGTATGGTTCCGTAATGCTGGAAGTTGAAACCCAGGTGCGCCTCTCTGTGTGATGATGGCAGACTTGATTCCACGCAGCTATTCTGGATTTGTATGCTAACCACCAGAGCAACATTGGAGATTGCAGTATGACCTGTTAAATGTGTACTCCTGTAGTGAGTCAATTTTATTCCTCTTTGGTGTGCCTGTTAGCGCTCATCCAGCACATGTCTGAGAAAGTGACCGAGCAACAGATTTGTGATTAGAGAATAGGAGATGCTGTGCAGGATAAGTGTTCAGCATAAGTTACCTCAGTCATTTAGGTAGGTAAATTGAGTCTCTTTAAGCTTGATGCAGCTCAACATGTCATTGATTGATTCATTAATTCTGAGTTGTAGCATCCAGTTTGAAAGACAAATGTCAGAACATCAGTCTGTAAACTAAACCTGAAGCTGGTGTTTTGTTTGTTTTTTTAGCCAAGGGAAAAAAAAAAAGACAAAGTGATTAAAGTCATGCAGTAAAAGTGCGGTAGAGTAGTATCACAATAGTCTCTTATGTGTAGGTTATCATTGTAGACTTATTTTTAGGGGTTACACCTTGTGTACACATGCTGTAACATAAGCATGAAGCAGAAGCTAAGGAGGTGTTTCAAGCACACATCTGATGTTTACGTTGCCTATATCTTATAAGAACTCAGCGCTGAGTCAGTTCACAATCATTAAAACACTTGTAAAATAGAAGGACATGCCTAGAAGCACTCAAACACACGAGTAAAACTATGTTATAACCTGTGTCGCACAGAATTAAACAAATACACTTCATTTCTGATGCTCAGAAAACATAAAAACTGAAAAGCATGTCCAGATTAGAAATCTTACTATAGAAAAAGTCTACAGAAAAGAAAGGGGGTGGGATTGTGTGCTTAATGGTTAATGGTCTGTGCCAGTGTCACCCTTTCATGTAAATTAGCTTGAAGCTACACTAGAACATCCTGGGTTAACTTGACCAGTTAAGAACCAGCTTTATGTGAGCACTTTTTACTGCAGGCTTGATTTATACATTCACACACATTTCTACAGCACTTTTACTGCATGCCTTTAACTGTTTGGTCAGACCTCTTGATGCACTGTGGTAATGGTTAAACCCATGATTTAGTGGAATGGAGCTTTACTGCCTTCTGTCCTTATTGAAATGGGCTAAAGAGAATTTTCTTTTTCCCTTCTTTAGTGTAATGGTAACACAGATAAAGTCCAATATGACAACAGCCCTGTTTAACTAATATAATACTAAAGTAGTGTTTGTGAAGTTATGTCACTTTGTCCCATACTGAGTAGTCATCAGATTTGTAAATGGTGAAATGTGATGATTTTAAATGGCCAGGATGTTCTTACGAAACCCCTTCAGACACCTTGGAACTGGAAGGAAGTCTTCTAGAAGGATTAGTCAGATTTCAGCAAGCTGCTGTGAGAGACTGACAACTAAAAGAGCTACACAGCGGTCTTTGTGCTAAAGCACAAAGACCGCTGTTTGGTACTTCAGTGTTTGGTACTTCAGTGTTTCCAGCTGGCTTTTCAATCTTTTGATATCTCTCTAGATATCAAAAAAGTAAAATAATGACCTTTGTTTTAACTGTATGCCAGCTCAAAACACTATTCATCTTCTTTTTATGGTTTACTAGTTGTAAATTAAAGGCAAAATATAAGCAGCTAATGTAATTGATGGTAAAACCTCAAGCAAAGAGAAAAGTTCTCTCCGTTTCCTAAAATTGCAGTTATGTGCTGTGAACATCACCTCAAAATAAATGGACATCAAAATTGTATTCTTTGTTTATCCTAACATGTAATACTATAAAAGCTATTTTGGCAGCTCCACAATCAAATCTTATTGAATTCTGGTGTAAATGGCTTAAAGGTCAGTAGTTGTATAAATGTTGGGGTTAGGAAGTTGCCAGTACTTGGAGCCATTAACATGTCTTTAAAAAAATAAATGCAGACTAAAATGTGACAGCAGCTTTTCACTGGGGGCTCATTAACGATGTTCTGACGGGTCTGTGCAGGCACCCTGGTGATTTACACACACACACACACACACACACACACACACAACCTGCAGCAGACCCACAGGAGGCTATGGTATAATTTTGTATGATGTTATTGGAGCTGAAGTGTGTATGGGTTTTAGACTGTGAGAAAGTGATTGGAAGTAAATTGAATAAGGGCATACATTATTGGGTGTAAAGCATTTGTGGAGGTGATGGTTTTTATTTTCTGAGCCTTTTTTTTTTGTTTTGGTAGTGTGTAAAGAGGATTCTTCTGGATGGTGTAGATCTGGTTATGCATGGAGGGATTAGTGAAACTGTTCAACTCAGCATACTTTACTAGAAAGCCAAAGGAAGGGGGAGGGGCTAGTAGAGGTAATGGAGTTGTGCTGTCAGTGGGATCTGACCCATACGGCTGGGATTATACTCCCTTGCAGACTCAGCCACGGACAGCTGTCAACTGCAGACACTTAGCTTGGAGGAGGTATGTACATTTGGTGCCCTTCAAGTGGAGTGGCTGTGGAGACAACTGTGCACAGACCCAACCACAGGGAGGGTATGTGAAAGTCCACTCAGTCTCTTATATACACTGTTTGGACAAAAGCCACACAGCCACCATGTACAGGGCTCAACAGATAACAAATATTTTACAAATGGGCCAAAAACCTTTTTCCAAACTATAAATGACTGTATTCACTGTAGTGAAGATTGAGTGGACTTCTCTGGGAGGTCAGAAATGAATTACTAATCACATAAACATGTGACCACTAAAACTACCTTTTCAGTTCAAAAATGGAAGTAAATAACTGATTTGGCATCTTAATCAAAATAATAACATGTTGTACTTATATCCAATAAATTTGAAAATTATAATAGCAATTATAGAAACATAGAAAAGTAACTTTGGCAATTAAGGACATCTGTGACATAAAGCTTACACATTTGTAGAACTGTGTTCTTCAAGCAAATTCGAAAACAGTATAAGAAATCCACTATTCATTACACTATTCACAGATGACTAATGAATAATCCCATAATATGACGACTTTCATTCCTCTGGGGGGTTGGCCAACAGGCTGCTGGTGGAAACTGTGCTACTGTTGTCTGAAGATGAAGACAGAGGAGAAGGGGAAGGTGTTTTAGGCATTGGTAAGAGAGAAGGAAAGGCATGAATGCAGAAGTGTGAGTAGGAACTCTACATGTAGGGACTCTGACTGGTAAAAGGAGAGAGCTGGGTGATACGGAGAGAAGGAAGGTTGATATATTGTGTGTGCAGGAGGCAGCAGCTTTTCACTGGGGGCTCATTAACAAGCAAGGGAAGCACTCAAGGTGGATTCAAACTATTCTACCATGGTTTAGATTGGAAGTGAAGCGGCGTGGGGGTAATTTTTAAGGAAGAGGATGTGAACAGTGTTATGGGGATGAAGAGGGAGTGAGGTGGGATCATGAGTTTGATGATGGAAATTGAAGATGTGACGTTAACGGTTGTCAGTGCAGAGTGTCCCTATGGCGGGTGGGAGTTGTTAATTTCAGTGTAATGTAGGTTATGGGAACAGAGGTGATGGTGTTGGGGAGGAAATGTGGAAAATTACGTGGCAGTGGATTTTGCAAAAAGGATGGAAAGGACTGTCAAACATACAAGAAAAGAGAGGAACATAGGGTGGCATAAGGTCACCTTATGTTCACCCTGAGTGCAGTCTGAAAGACATATGAGACTCCAGGGTGGTGTCAAGGGAGAATGTAGCTAAGCAGCATCTGATGGTAGTTGGTAGGATGATTTTAGAAATTAAGAAGAGGAAGCGAGTCAAGGATTAAATGGTGAAAGTTGAAGAAGGAAGCATGTTGCTCAGAGTTCAGGAAGGAGCTGGGACAGGCTGTGGGGTTTGTTGGGAAGTTATCAGATGACTGGGAATGTACAGCTGAAGTGGTGAGAGAACCTGTCAAGAAGGTGTTTGACATATCCCTTGTATTTAAGAAAGAGTATAAAGATACTTGGTAATGGAATGAGGAAGTACATGAAAATATTCAAAGAATGAGGTTGGCAAAGAAAAAGTGTGATAGTCACAGAGATGAAGAAAATAGACAGGTGTACTGAGAGGTTTACAGCAAAGAAAGAGGTGGCAAAGGCTCATAGTGAGTTTGTGAAGCTGGAGACTAAGGAAGGACAAAGGACTTGCAGAGAGATCACGCTGAAAAGATTGTGCAGCAGCCTTTCAATCTCTAAACATAAAGATGGAAATCGAGTAATGAGTGAAAAGAGTGTTGAGAAGATGGAGGAGATACAGGAGTAAGGATGGAGGACAATTTTATTTATACAGCGCCAAATCACAACAACAGTCACCTCAAGACGCTTTATATTGTCAGGTAGACCCTACAATAATACATACAGAGAAAAACCCAACAATCATAACCCTATGAGCAAGCACTTCGGCGACAGTGGGAAGGAAAAACTCCCGGAGGGGCGGACATCTGCTGCAACTGTTTGGCGTTAGGGGAGGAATACGGGACAAAAGACATGCGGTGGAGGGGGCCAGAGATTAATAATGAGTATAATTCAGTGCAGAGAGGTCTATTAACACATAGTGAGTGAGAAAAGCGACTGGAGAAGAAACACTCAATGCATCATGGGAATCCCCAGCAGTCTACACCTATTGCAGCATAACTAAGGGAGGATTCAGGGTCACCTGGTCCAGCCCTAACTATATGTTTTAGCAAAAAGGAAAGTTTTAAGCCTAATCTTAAACATAGAGATCGTGTCTGTCTCCTGAATCCAAACTGGAAGCTGGTTCCACAGAAGAGGGGCCTGAAAACTGAAGGCTCTCCCTCCCATTCTACTTTTAAATACTCTAGGAAGAACAAGTAGGCCTGCAGTGCGACAGCGAAGTGCTCTAATAGGGTGATATGGTACTACAAGGTCATTAAGATAAGATGGGGCCTGATTATTTAAGACCTTATATGTGAGGAGCAGGACTTCAACTTCAATTCTGGATTTAACAGGAAGCCAATGAAGGGAAGCCAATGCAGGAGAAATATGCCCTCTCTTTCTAGTCCCTGTCAGTGCTCTTGCTGCAGCATTTTGGATCAACTGAAGGCTTTTTAAGGTGTTTTGAGAACACCCTGATAATAACAAATTACATTAGTCCAGCCTAGAAGTAATAAATGCACAAACTAGTTTTTCAGCGTCACTCTGAGAGATGATGTTTCTGATTTTAGAGATATTGCGCAAATGGAAGAAAGCAGTCCTACATATTTGTTTACTGTGTGCATTGAAGGACATATCCTGGTCAAAAATGACTCCAGAATTCTATTGGTTAGGTTACATATAAAATTATTGCTTTTTGTTCATCATCAATTTATCCATCCAGCCTCTTCTGATTATTGTGGGGGCGGGGTTTAATTGTAGCTACCATAGGTTGAAAGTGCATTATGAGAAAATTTTCAAAGGTCATATTACAGTGTATGATAGATGACTGTTCATAATAATAGTAGCGTATTAAAGGTCTGCTTTTCACCTGTGTTTTGACACACTGTCAAAAAAAGTTGTAACGTCATCATTTTCAACATGTTCCAGCCATCAGTGCTTGAGAATTTAAATCTGTACTCTGATGGTTTTAAGGTTGTTCTGTGGGTTTGTGCTGTTGTCCTCCTGTTGTTTCTAACGTGAGCAGTCAGCACTTCTGTACTACAGTAGGAAATTCAGCATGCAGGCTTCATGAAGTCTGAGGGAATACTTGTTCCAGGGTACCATGCTTTGGTGTTAATGGCTGACCAGTGTTAAGTTGTAGTACTGCTGTTGTTGCAGTAATATTGTTGAGCTGATCAGAGGTTGTGTTTCTTCACCAGATATCCTGCCAGTTTTCATTTTGCTTTGATTGGAATTAAGTGAGGGCATGGCGCATTAAGAACAGCTTCAGTTCCTTCACGTAAGCTTCTACTGGTTTTTGGCTGATGTCTCCAGTGCAGCATGTCCCTTTTGAAAACACCAGTTGTAGAAGTATCCAGATCCATAATTTTTATTCACAGTACACGCTGTTTGTTGGGAAAAGATCATCTTTAATTGGAAATGATACGAATACAAAATTTCAAATATTTTGAATTTGGCAGCAAACACTTGAAAAAGTTGGCAATGGGGTAACACGACAGGGAAAGAGCCTGAAAATATGCATGTTGAAAAGTCTCACTGCGCTGACCTGACATGTAGGGACTTTACAGGGAGGTGTAGGTCAGGTACACGCTAGGTTACAGCATAGCTACTTTGTAGATCTCCCACTGCAGCAGAAATTCCCAGTAAGTCTACCGGTGTGTATTTGAGTGGTGCGTTCACTTTGGTTAGGACACTGTTACTTAACTGTTTCCTGCTAGAAACTGGATGAATCTTCGGGATGCAGAGACGGGCAAAGTGCTGTGGCAGGGAACGGAGGACCTCTCTGTACCGGGAGTAGAGCACGAAGGTATGTCTGCGCTTTTGACACTCTCAAGTCATATCTGTTGTGAGAGAACAACTAAATACAAATCTTCAAGACCTGTTTATCAGATGGTTTACCCACTAATTCATAATAAAACCCACTCATCTCATAAGCCAACATTGTCAGCTAATACTGATTGTTCTATATATGCAGTATCCTTCTCTCTGTTTTAGAGGCTGTATATTTAGACAAAGTCGTTTTTTCACATCATTTTAAGTTTAAAAATTATAATGTTGAAGAGGCGTTTGTGAGGGCCACTCAAAAAACACCAGATTGACCTTTTAATGTTACCAAAAGTGATTTTGCGGTTTTCAATCATCCTGTTGTAGAAACCAGCCTCTAGTTAACATTGGAAGAAATTGGTTTCACTCTTCCAGTGAAAATTGTGTGCAGCACAAACAATAAATGTGTTCTTTTGTAAATGACAGATAAGGTCGGAAATGACTGTTTATCAGGATCGACTGTTGCAGGTAAACAGGAGTGGAGTCATCACATCCATCATAAAATGTTTTGTGGCATTGTGCCTTCAAATAATGTAAAACACAGGACGACCAAGCAGAAAAAATGTGTTTGTCCATTATTGTTCAAGAAGTTACTTGACAGCACGATATCGCACTGACAGCAGGGAGTCTTTTATGAATTCCATTGTCATCACAGATTTTCCCGCAAATCTGAGGAGCCTGATCAATTTGTTACACTCACAATTGTTCTCGGTTTCCATTCAACCTGATAATTCAGTTACTGAAGTGAAATAATGATCAATGGGTTATGCAAATGATTTTTTTTTAGTGACAGTAAAAAGCTAAACTTTGTCTGTTAGTGGACAGCAAATCAGCCATTCATTATTCTTCACTCTCTCCCTTCCCCGTCATATCCCTCCATCAGTTTTTTAAACCATAGTAATTACACCTTCCTGTCGTTCTCGCCCTGTTCTTGGGCCTGCGGTCTCTCCTCCTGCACTTCTCCACAGCAAGTGTGAGCAGCAGCAGCCTCCTGTGACTGCAAAGGCTGGTTACTAGTTGTTGCTAGGACTACAGCTGTCAGTGTAGCAGCAGCCCTAACAACTAACATGTCGCTTAATTTCACACAGTTTGCTGCTTCCATTTCTTGTATCAGAGTGGCTATAGCTCAGGAACTAGAGCGGTCGTGCTAATTAGATGGTTAGTGGTTCAATCCCTGCCTGTTCTGGTTTGGATGCCATAGTATCATTGGGCAAGATGCTAACAATTCGTCGAAGTGTGGATGTTGGATGGAAGCACATAAGCATGGAAAACGTTCTTGTATGAATGGATGTGAACAAGTGAATGAAGCATGTTATGTAAAGTGCTCCGAGTGCCCCAGTAGAGTAGAAAAGAGAACCAGTCCATTTACCATTTCTGTCTTAGCTTTTCAGCTCCACTTTGCTACTTTTGTTTGCTTTCTTCCATCTTTATCCGCCACTTCTTCCACGATACACTCTGTTCTACAAGGTGCATGAATGCACAGGGAGGGCAGACGAGGGGTCAGTTGCCTTGACAGATTTGATCTGATCCTACATGCTGACCTGTAGCCTGTATAATTATGTCTATAAAGTCTTAGGTCCTGGGCCCACAAATGAAAACACTGAATGCTGGTGTTACGTACCTAGCTGTTGTAAGCAGAGTTAATTATATACGGCATATCTGTCTCTTCAGCTCGTGTCCCAAAGAAGATCCTGAAGTGTAAAGCAGTGTCCAGAGAGCTCAACTTTTCTTCCTCAGAGAAGCTGGAGAAGTTCAGACTGGAGCAGAAAGTTTTCTTCAAAGGACAGTGTTTAGAAGGTAATATGTGAAAACTGACAGATCAGTGTTCGTTTCCACATGAATGGAGCCCTGCATGTTCCTGTCTGGTTCTACAGACATCCTCTTATCCACATGTGGTACAGGGACCAGTAGCTAACTGAACATGTTAAAAACGGAGTCGACTAGGTACTGCTGGAAAAGTGCTATATGTTATCCATATCTTATCTGTCTCATATAATATAGTCAGTGTAAGATTAAACCTATTTTACTCCAAATTATGTCAAGTTTATTAAAATGTGTTTAAAATTTGTTAAAAAAAAAAACAAAGACCAAAATGAATATATACAAAATACAATATTATTCCCTTAAAAGTGATTACTACCCACAGAGTGAGCAGTGAAATGCTATTTGAAGATGTTAACATGTTTGAAGTAAACCTCCCTTTCACATAGCATCATCACTTAACCTCGACCCCTCAGCTGTAATCGGCTGACTGCGTTATGTCGTCACCACGGTGGGCGAGTGAGAGGTCACCCAGGTTTGTGAATGCAAGAACTCAAGAACAAGGCAAAAAAGAAACTTTGCATCGATACCATAGCTGTGTCTACTAAAAATCTCAGACAAGTTCAAATCTCAATGACTTGGACTTGGTCAGTTTTTTGTTTTTTTTTTTTTGAAAATCTTGTGAATGTGAGAACTTGAGAAAAAGACAATTTTGAAATTGATACTATAGGTGCGTTTACTAGGAGGCTAACAGCTTTTTGTTGTTTTGACCATGTGTAGGGACAAATGAAGGCCTGGTAGTCTTAGGAAGGTTAACCAATGAATACAGTTGCTACATAGTATTATGAAAAAAACAAAAATGATAAAATGCTCAGAATTAAAATCAAATAAAAATGTATTTTTGTGAATTCATTAGCAAATTAATTATAAGATTCTATAATCAAGCAAGTTGAAATCTGAAAGAAGGAAAACCTGTGCAGGGTTACTAGAAGGCGGTTTGAGAAGAACAGACAGCTCACAGCCCTGGAACCTGTTGTGCATTGTCGTCACTTCCCTGTTTCACTGTGTTTGCAGTACAGTAATCCCCCTGACACCCTGCTGCACAGTTCCAGAGAGAAAACACACAATCCACACCCACATAACATGTTTGTGCTGCTGTTTTCCACCTGAGAAGAGAAATGTCTGTGAACTAATATCTAGGCCATGGTGGTATAGTAATAGCAATGATAGTGTGTGCTAGAGCAGCAGCATTGAGCCCTCTGTCTCTCTGTCCAGAGTGGTTCTTTGAGTTTGGTTTCGTTATCCCCAACTCCACCAACACATGGCAGTCTCTGATAGAAGCGGCTCCAGAGTCCCAGATGATGCCAGCCAATGTTTTAACGTGAGTCTCTGCTCAGATGTTTCCTGTACTTTGTGTTTCTGTACTTGGACCGTCTCTGTTTTAATGCCATAGAGCTGTGCTAGGCTTTTATCTGGCCTTGAGCTACATCAGGCCTGCTTCCATAGCGATACAAAGTGTACATCAACACACAAGTGGTCTTATGTTCTTGGCTGAAATATATTTACATACCTGCATTTTATTCTGATGATCTGAACATTTGCACGTAGACGCCTTGTGGATTTTCAGCGACTGAATCATAAAAGATCCAGTCGCTGAGCTTCAAACCGCACAAAGTGTCGTTCAGCAGCCCTACATTCTTCTTTCAGTGCGCCCGGAGGTCGTCTTTAAACAGATGACTTGGGAAGCGCAGGCTAATCATAATTAAAGTCAAGTCCCACATTTAGTTTCCTTTTATTCTACCAGTCACAGCTGTACAAAGTTGCGCAGCATTCATGTATCTTTTGCCCTGTTGTAGTGAATTTTCTGTTATGTTTCACTTTTACTAAAGGCTGACACTTGTCTTTGTTTTCTAGTGGTAATGTTATCATAGAGACCAAGTTCTTCGACGATGACCTGCATGTCAGTACTTCCAGGGTACGGCTTTTCTACGTCTGACATTTAACCCCCCCAAGTCTACCTTCCTGAATGCTGACACCCTGCCAAGGTCTGTAAATACCCAAGGTTAGCTACAATTCACAGCGGTAAAGAGCTCTTTGCTGACGTGGGATCAGCATGTTGGGGTGAAACCCAGCTGTGGCGCCACAATCAGTCAAGTGAGCTCGTGTTCTCTAGTTTTGTCTCGACTTGAAAACCTCTGGACCTTGGAAGAAGAGGGAAGAGGAGAGAGAGAACTCGATTGCTTCCCCTGTTCCAGGATCACCTCTCTCTCTGTTTTCCCCTTCAGACTGTTTCACTGTAAACACGTGATCACTGATCTCAAGTCAGCTAGGGAAGCCCTCTTGTGTTTTTTCTTTTTTGTAGTGCTGCCCTATCTCACTCCCAGGTAGCATTTACTCAGGAACAGAACAGATGTGTAACCTTCTGTGAATAGATATCATGTTTTCTAATCTCCATGTGTCATGTCATGGCTGGTCAAAGATGGACTGTTGTTGTTGAGGGAAGGTGATGCACTCAAGCAGGGGTGGGGGAACTCCAGGCCTCAGGGGGCCTATGTCCTGCAGGTTTTAGATATCAGCCTAGGTCAACACACCTGAATAAAATGATTAGTTCACTACCTCTGGAAGTGGCCTCTGGAGAACTTCAAGACATGTTGAGGAGGTAATTTAGCCATTTAAATCATGTGTTGGATCAAGAATACATCTAAAACCTGCAGGACACGGCTCTCGAGGCCTGGAGTTCCCCCACTCCTGCACTAGAGGGTCGGGGATGACATGAAAGCTCTTATTGTCATTTTAGGTGCTACAAATTTTATTGACAACTCAGATAAAATGTATAAACCTGTTACAATGAGCACTGCATATTTTACATAATTCAAATATAAAGTAGTATAGCCTTGAGGCGACTGTTGTTATGATCTGGCGCTATATAAATAAAATTGAACTGAATTGAGCTCATTTCCTCTGGCTGCCTCCCGTTTCAGAGGCTGTCTGTGAGCGCCCACATTTCTCACATGGTATGTCTTTACTAGTAAGGGTGACTTTCCAAAGCAGGTGAAATGCAGCCTCCTTCCTTCATTTGAGTAACAGAAGGAGCACAACCTGTGCACTCTTCTCCTCCTCAGATGGTCAATTTGTTTTTTTCTAGTCATTGATTAGAATTGCTCGGTTTTTATTGGAGAAATGGAAGAAATATACATTTGTGGATATATTAATCTTTACACATTAACCCATTCGTAATGTTTCACTTTGATGAGTTGATGAGGCCCGTCTAACACTGCAGTGCTCATCCCCTGTTAGTTTTCACAAGCACTAACCTTAGCAGGCTGACTCGTGACTGGAACAAACCCGCTTAATGTAATGTTTGCAACAGTGGTTTCAATGTAGTCTGATAGAGGGCTACACACGTTTGCTTGTTTTTTTACACTCCTCCATGAATTGTTAAAATGAAACCTTCACACAGTTATGACATAATTAAAAACTGTTGTTATTCATTGGTAGAACAAAACAAGCTTTTATTCCATTAATTTATGTTTTAATTGACCTTCACATGACTTAATTCTGATATTTCACTTTGAATAAAATCATTATCAGGGTGAAACCAAAACATGCGTCATTTTATCTTAGCTAGATCCAGATGGTAACAGCAGCTTGAATTCTTTTACAACACCTTTGCTTTGCATATTCTCACTAGATTTTTAGCTTTGGCTTCCTGCGTAGTTCACACATTCACCTCGTTATGTGTTTTTCTTAGCTCCTATCTGGGCTTTGTAAAATAGATTTGTGTTGTAATATAATGGGAGGTGTGGATTAAAGTTACATGATGTTGGAATAACATGATGCGTTCTGTTTATTTTATTAATTAATAATTTTCCCCGACCTGGTTGGGAAACAATTTCCCCAATTTCAAATGATGCATGTAGAGTTGTTGGAAAAATTCCCATGCACCCTGAAGTATCTTATCGCAGGTAAAGACTTGATATGCTCTTCTATGGCTAGGCCAAAAAACAGGTGGAGTCTCCTCTCTAGTACTGGGGCAAAGACTTCCACAGGCCAAGGAATGTCATTCCCCTAGTTACCCATGGGACCACCATCCCAGTTTGCCAATCCAGAGGGGACTGTCCCTGACCTCCACACAATGCAGCAGAGATTTGTCAACCAAGACAGCCCCACAGCATTTACTTCACTGCAGATACTAGTCAGCTGGCTCCAGAATCCAAGAAACAAACCAAGGGAAGAGGAGAGAGAACTCGATTGCTTCCCCTGCTCCCTTCACTTTTGGCGTCCACCATTGAGACAGGTACCAGCAACTTTACAGCCAGAAATAGAGGAGTGGCATCTGACTAATTTGGATCCTGACCAAAGATCTACTGCTCTTGGAGCAGGTATTTTGCCAGATGGTGCCTCCACATCCACACTGGACATTTGATTGAGATTTCCACATCAGTGTATCTTCCCACACCACCTTGACAGTTGACAGCTCAGCTTCTCTCAGCCTAGGTTGTGGGTGTTAAGTGCACTGATGTGGAAATCTCTTCAGTTTCATGCAGATTTTTTTATGGATTTTTTTTTTTTATGGATTGAACAATTATGTTTAGAAATGTACTTAATATACTGTAGGTCGTTTTCAGTGTTTATTTGTGACAGAGGGATAGCAGCAAGAGAGAAAGGGAAGGATTACAAGATGGTAGTGAGACCTGCTATGATGTATTGTTTGGAGACAGCGGCACTGAAACAAAGAAAGAAAGCAGAGCTGAAGATGTTCAGATCTTCATTGTGAGTGAGCAGGATGGACAGGATTAGAACTGAGTCCTTTAGAGGGACAGCTCAGGCTGAGCAGTTTGGAGAAAAAGTGAGAGAGACGAGGTTGAGATGGTTTGGATATGTGCAGAGGAGGGAGAGTGGATATATCAGATAACGGATGATGAAGATGGAGCTGAGAGGAAAAAGCACATGCTAGGGACAGGGTGAGATGATCCACTGGGATAAAAGACAAAAAATAATCACATAGCAAGCAGAAGAAACTCAAACACTGTTTGGGTAAATTCTACAGGGTGGGCCATTTATATGGATACACCGTAATAACATGGGAATGGTTGGTGATATTAAAGTCCTGTTTGTGGCACATTAGTATATGTGAGGGGGCAAACTCCTCAAGATGGGTGGTGACCATGGTGGCCATTTAGAAGCCGGCCATCTTGGATACAACTTTTGTTTTTTCAATAGGAAGAGGGCCATGTGACACATCAAACTTATTGGTAATGTCACAAGAAAAACAATGGTGTGCTTGGTTTCAACGTAACTTTATTCTTTCATGAGTTATTTATAAGTTTCTGACCACTTATAGAATGTGTTCACTGTGCTGCCCATTGTGTTGGATTGTCAATGCAACCCTCCTCTCCTACTCTTCACACACTGATAGCAACACCGCAGGAGAAATGCCAGCACAGGCATCCAGTATCTGTAGTTTCAGGTGCTGCACATCTCGTATCTTCACACCATAGACAATTGCCTTCAGATGACTCCAAAGATAAAAGTCTAAGGGTGTCAGATCGGGAGACCTTGGGGACCATTCAACTGGCCCACGATGACCAATCCACTTTCCAGGAAACTGTTCATCTAGGAATGCTCGGACCTGTCACCCATAATGTGGTGGTGCACCATCTTGCTGGAAAAACTCAGGGAACGTGCCAGCTTCAGTGCATAAAGAGGGAAACACATCATCATGTAGCAATTTCAAATATCCAGTGACCTTGAGGTTTCCATTGATGAAGAATGGACCCACTATCGTTGTACCCCATATACCACACCAAACCATCACTTTTGTTGTTCCAACAGTCTTGGAGGGATCCATCCAATGTGGGTTAGTGTCAGACCAATAGCGGTGGTTTTGTTTGTTAACTTCACCATTCACATAAAAGTTTGCCTCATCACTGAACAAAATCTTCTGCGTGAACTGAGGGTCCTGTTCCAGTTTTTGTTTTGCCCGTTCTGCAAATTCTGTGCGCCGATCTGGGTCATCCTCGTTGAGATGCTGCAGTAGCTGGAGTTTGTAAGGGTGCCATTTGTGAGTAGCTAATATCTGCCGAAGGCATGTTCGACTTAATGCCACTCTCCAGTGACATGAGGCGAGTGCTACGCTGTGGGCTCTTGCTGAATGAAGCTAGGACAGCCACTGATGTTTCTTCATTAGTGACAGTTTTCTTGCGTCCACATTCTGGCAAATCCAACACTGAACCAGTTTCACGAAACTTAGCAAGCAGTTTGCTAACTGTAGCATGGGAGATGGGTGGTCTCGTAGGGTGTCTTGCATTGAAATCTGCTGCAATGACCCGGTTACTGTGTTCACCAGATATCAACACAATTTCGATCCGCTCCTCACGTGTTAACCTCTTCGACATGTCAATGGCTGTGAACAAAGAGAAACTTGTAAATAACTCATGAAAGAATAAAGTTACGTTGAAACCAAGCACACCATTGTTTTTCTTGTGACATTACCAATAAGTTTGATGTGTCACATGGCCCTCTTCCTATTAAAAAAAAACGTTGTATCCAAGATGGCCGGCTTCTAAATGGCCACCATGGTCACCACTCATCTTGAGGAGTTTGCCCCCTCACATATACTAATGTGCCACAAACAGGACTTTAATATCACCAACCATTCCCATGTTATTACGGTGTGTCCATATAAATGGCCCACCCTGTAGATGACGGCTGGATTTTGGAGGCTAACAGAGACCTCCAGGGGGCAGCATTACTTCTGTGAGAATGCTTTTATGACGTGAAATGCCGAAGAAAAAGGGGACTACATGTCCCAGTGTAGTTTGCGGCCCACGCGGAGGGGTTCCATCTGTGTCGACCTTGGGCTTTGACGTTTAAAACATGGCGAATAAGGAGCCGAATGTAAGTGTTTGAAATGTGACTGGTTTTGAATGAAGACAGCATGATCTTTATTGTTGTGCGACATGTTTATCTGGCACTAATGTGACTGGTGACGAGGCTAAGTTAGCATGCTCCATCAGATTGAGCAGCTTTGCTAGTTTCGTTGTAGTTCACTAACAGCTCGGTTAGCAGCGACAACTGCTGTATGTGATCTAGTAGGCTTTACACGATACAGGTGAGGGCAGGAGATAGTGGGACAGGGCGACCTTTCGCTGTGAGGCAGATGTTTCACACTGTAGGCAATATCATGAGATTACATGTAGCTGACCTTCTGTTAGTAGAGTAACCTGAACTGGGCTATACAGGCAAACCTGCCGGCAAGCTACTGTTAGACCTTGTTTCTGCTTAAGGATAGCGGGTTTCTTCTCTACTACCACATATGGTTTTCAAGCATTCATCGTTTTTCTTAACTACCTAAACATGCCAATGCCAGCTAACAGTGGGCGGAAGGCAGTGATCCACCGTGGACAGGTCCCACATACATCACAGAGCTAACACAGACACAGCCAATATTCATGTCCACACCCATGTGTATGAATAACCCGGCTGGCATGCATGTGTTTAGGCTG